AACATAGTTGATCCATCCTCGGAATAATCACTACTTTTCGGATTGGTTTCAATGAGCCTATTTATGGCAATCACATGACTGAAGCGAAAATTTAATATTAGTAGTATAACTTTTAAAATACATATAAAACTGTGGGTTTAGTATACTCTTTGAGAACGCTGCTGGTTATGTCTAATATATTAAAAGCTAACTTCATGTTGGGATCATTTTCTGCATAATTCAATATTACTGCTTTGCTGCTGCGGATATGTAATTTTATAAATGAGTGTAATTAGGATAAATAAATTCTCAAGCGACTCCTTGAAGATTAAAAGTTTTGACAAATACTTCTTGGTAATGATGTTTGGTATGCTTTCACCCATTTGAACATCATTGGCAACATCAAGCGTAAGATTAAGCATCAGCTTAGCAGCATTGCCACCAACACATTCCAACGCTTCTTTGCCACTTGAATAAAAGCATGCAATTTATCTCATTCGAATGTATTATGGACTAAACTTATCATACCGTTGACTGATTGCTGTTTTCAAATCTTTGCCATCGTACACATCTTTCGTGAGTCCGTAGCCAATCCTAACTAAATCGAGCTGCGGTACTAAATCTTGGACGCTAGTTTGAAAGAAACGCATCAATTGCGCAAATTCAAAAATTCCATTGGCAATGCATTGAGATTGGGTATACCTTTCGAGGAATGTGTCTTGAACAGTTTTGTGCACTTGAGATAGATCCCCAGTTTCAACATACGCTTCAACACCTTTGTACAAACTGGAAAATGCATCGATGTAAAATCAATACGATTTAGTTGACCAATAGTTTGCTCACACTTTTCCAACGGCAAGCGCACCTTTAGTCGGAGGCGGAACGAAGTAACTTTTCATCGCACACTCTAAACTTCCATCAACAACTATTTTGGCAGTGTCAGCATTTACGAAGCCGTTGTTAGAACTTTGAAATTTAGCAAACGAGCAGTATTAGAAACACAGTATAAAGGTTCAGTGAAAATGTTAATTTTAGATAAATATTTGTTAGCACTTGGTACTTGTTTAATTTAAAATGAACAATTCCATTCGTTCTTTTATTTGAAAATGGTCGAAGGTATTTAGAAGAATATTTTAATGAAATACGCTAAAAATGAGGAAAATTGAATGTACTCAGTTGCTGAATTGATCACTGATGTCATATCGACTAAGCTCAAGCGTTCATTTGGTGTCAACATTCAAGTTGACATTTTCAGCTGATATTTTTGTACTCTAAAGAATTGTTTGTGCTGCGATTTGCCTTCCGCGAATCAACTCATTCACAATAATCGCAGCACACATACGATCGAGACACATAACGCCTTTGTATTTATCTATCATCTTAAATTTACTTCGTATTTCCATTACTCTTTCACTAGAAGATCAAGTAATACCCCATAAAAAATAACTCACTTCTCTTCGCAAATGCTCATTAATAGTCCCTTTTTAAATTTATCGTTTCGAACTAGGAAGAAATCAAACTTTGAAAGATACAAGTTTGGTTAATTTAAATATTTGCACCCAAACTTACTTTATTCCGTATCATTTTATACCTTTTTTCATTCTTTTCAAATCATTTTAATTCCACTTCATTTATTTCATTGAAAAAAACTTCAATTTCAAATTACTTACACTGACGATCCAAAACTATGGAAAGACTTCTCTTCTTGCTTCTGCGAGCTTGAATCACTTTCCGCACTTGAGTTATCTTTTAGTTTGTTGGATTTATTCCTTCTACATTTTCTAAAATTTAATTCAGTCAAGTAGGCAAAAAAAACCATTCGAAATGAAAATATTTACGGCCAATAACAATTTTTGTCGGGCTTCGTTTTTTCACGTTCCTTCTTCTTATTTTTCTCCTTTTTCTCTTTCACTTTCTCTTTCGGTTCCACATTTTCATGTTTCTGTTTATCATTGAAGCTGAACATACACATTTGGAAGAATAAGAAATTTTAATTTAGCGACTTATCTTTGTAATAGAAGAAAATGTGAAAAAATATATCTTTTTTGCACAAGCCAGCTACGTTTGACGCATAAACCTTTTTCATATTTGTTGGATATAGTTTAGCTCATGCATTATTTTAAGAAATTTTTAGAGAAATATTTTCTCAAATATCTCCAAAATCCACAAAAATCTGATTTATTTATTCGAAATATTCGAAAATATGTCATACAATTGATGTTTATTTCAAATATCTCAAATATCTCACAAGATTCAGGAGCGTGATATTCCCCTAGACAAATGAATGCAAAAATTAGAACAATAACTTCATTGCTTTTATCGGTAGCAAAAAGAAAACTGAATTTGCTCGGTTTTATTATTTCATTTTATCATTTCAAATTCAAAGAACGTAAAACTGGTTTATTACGTTATGCTTTCAATGTGGCACATGCTTTACGATTCAGATTGAAATCAAGCCATATATGCGTAAAATACAAGGTGCAAACCAAGACTAATTTTCGCAGAAATTTTAATGATAACAATATATGAGCTGTTGTTCTGCTTACGGAAAGGTAGTCAAATTATAATCATTTAAAAATCAATTGTTACACCGATGAAGTGCTCATTCAATAGATTTATTTACCTTAAATTCGGTGCGAAAATGCATGACTATTTTTTGAAGAGAGTAAAGCTGCTATATGCCATTTGTGAATTGTTCGCATCTGAATTATTCTGAAGTTCAAATTTTATGGATTAATTTCATTCCGTGTCTGACCCTGTAAATATTAAGCGTTAATAAAGAAATGTCCAATTATTACGTTTTCCACGTTAAACAAAACACGTTATTTTTATGATCATAAACTAATTACTTATATTAGTGCATTTTTATTGGCATTGGTTTGCCACTCTTGCAAAAAGAAGGGAATTGATCAGGTTTCAAGCTATTGAAACAATGTCATTTTTGAATTTATGTATCGTTTTTTATTCCATCTTTCATAGAAGTGATTGTTATAAAACAAAAGAGTAAGCGCACATTTTTTGGTTTTTGTTAACCTATTGGCTCTTATAGAGTCTCCTTGATGTCATATTCCGAGTTTCTCTACGCAGCGCTTGGGTGGAGTACTTGTTTTCCGCTGAAACAAAAAAAAATGTTCAGGAATTTTTCCAAGTTAACAGTTTATTATAATATTAACCGTTCGACAATTGAATTGGTAGCGGCATTGGCGAACTTGGAACATACTTTGCCCACTGCTTCTCTTGTACTGTAAGTAATCATTCAGATGAAACATACATGCTTTGGATATTTTTTCTATAGATATTAATTAAAATTCTTCTTCATACCGATTTGCAGCGATGCTTTTCACTTTCCGATCATGTTTTTCACACTGTTTCCAACTAGGTTATTTACTGCACCTAAATTACTGAAGAAAATTGAAGGAAAGATTATTATAATTTGCAATCAACCGATAAGATATATTTGTTGAAGTGAGCTTAGCATACCCATTCATAAGGCCTTTCGCTCAGGGACAGCATTAGCGTACTGTCTTACTGCTGCTTCGCCACTACGAACGAAAGAGTTAGCAAATGAACAGTAAATGGATAAGTTAATTTGAATGAAAGTAAAATGGAATAAGTCTACTTTAAATTTCAAAGCTTTGATACATACTTTTTAGCTATGATATCCTGCATGCTGGCGCCTTTCCGAAGATCATTAGCAATATTAAATGCCATTTTTCCGCCTTCACCACCAAAATGACCCGCCAAATCTGCTCCACTGATTTAAGAAAAAAGAATTTATTGCATTCGAATGTTTTTTTTCATAAAATTATCATACCCTTGCTGCATTGCTGTTTCGATATCAGTACCATTCATAAGATTCTTTGCCATATTAGAGACTACATGGCCTCCTGGCACAATATATTCGAGGCTACATTTCAAACAAAAAATAACTCATCAGTTAAGCAAATTCCAAATTCTATGTTCAACAAATTAAGATTGATTTTACCCTGCCATGGCGGAGAACTTAATAGCTACAACAATGGTTGCATTGTTATTATACGCATCATATAAACTGGAAAAAAATTGCACAATTAGTAAAAATCTAGCTATGACTATTTATTTATTATTTATTTTTTACGAAGCCTACATTTATGCCAATATGTGTTCTCAGCGAGCTGAGAACATGCTAGTCATAGACCCAATACGGCATAAATTCCGCCCATGGTGCGTCTTTTGCAAAGAGATTACAGTAAGGGGAGGGATGATATAAAGTGAAGCTTCCATACCAGAATTGGGTCCGGAAAACCATGGCAAAACCGGCCTGATTCTGGAGAACCAGGGGAAATACAATGATGATGAGTTTTTACAATTAAATTACGTTAATTTTTTACAAAATTTAAATTTATCTCACGGCAGTTTACAAAAAAAATTATTCGTAAAAGTTTTGATGAAGCTTCAAACAGCTTTCAGTTTTCAGCTTTTGTGTAAAATTCTAAAAGCGAAAGAAGCAAAAACGTTACAAAGGCAATTTGATATAGTGTTGATCGTTTACTGTGATTTCGCCATGAAGTAAATGAAGGTTTTTCTTTTTGCCTGAAAAATATACAATTCGATTCGAATTTTATAAGAAAAATCACTACAGAAAAATGGTCAAATGAAAATTAAAAAAAAAAAATATCCGAAATGAAACGCAACTCGATGTTGATTTTAAATAATGTGTTTTTTTTTTTACTTTATTAATTTATTCACTTTTTTGGTAATGCTGTTCATGTTCCATTTGAATTTGTAGTTTTTAAGTCCAACAAAATAAAACGAATAGAGTGTTACATCCAAATTTTGATTTTGGTTCTATGTTCTGTTGGTTTTTCATTATTAGATAGAGTTCTTTTTATTCATCTGTTTAAAACATAAATTATAAGAGATAATAATAATAAATTGTTCGATGCTCAAAAAGCGATGCTTTTGGCTGCCATTCCGTGTATTATATTATTTAAACTACAAGTGGTTGCTAGTGTGTAGTTTGGTTTTATTTTATTTGTTGCTGTTGTTGTTGTTTTTTTTTCAATTCATTTATTGCCAATTGGCCAATTGTTGAGTGTGAAAATAAAAACAATTCGAATCAATCGATCTCTTGGGCGCGGTTGGTGGGAAGTCTCAAGCCATTTACAAGCTAGCTTCGATCTTGATGAGCTCAAGGATACCATCTGACATTTCCTTGACGGCTTGGTATTCAGTCAAGCCCAAACGACGCTTGTTGGAGATATCGTAGATTCCTCCAATCGATTCTGTATGTTCACCAGATGTACCACGAACTTGCAAATTGTATTTGCCGGCAACTTCTTCCAACTTGGCGTAGTCCTGGAATATAATCAAATGCACGTTCAATTTGATTAGTTGGATTATAAAATAAATTGGTGAAGATGAAAATGAGCCGTTGCCAAATAGTAGAAAAAAATCCGCACACGATATGCTTACCTTGGCCAATTTTGGTACTTTAATGTGCACTGAAGCACGGATGGTAGTTCCCAAGTTGGTTGGACAGAAGGTGAGGAAACCAAGACGTTTGTGATGTGAGAATGGGATGCGTTTTTCGATGTCGTTGACAGCGTTCACTAAACGACGGTAGATTTCACCCAAGTCACCACCTTTTTGCATGGAAATGATACGCAAATGATCTTCTTCGTTGCACCAGACCAAGAAGGTTTTTTCGTCATTGTGGTAGATACCACGACCAGTTGGCCAGAAACGGCTATAGGAAGAAAACAAACGAATACCGTTTATTAATATCAAAATTGCAATTTGTCAATCGATGCGATTAAAATTTACCATGCGTTAGCGGCTTGCAAGAAGCGATCACATTCCTTGAACAAGAAATGGTCATCGATCAATTGTTGTTGATCTTCCTTGGTCATTCCGGTCAATGGGTAGTATTTGCCTTTCAATTCACCTTCCAAACCGCTCAATGTTGAGCTAACTTTGTCTTCCATTTCTTTGTATTGGGCTTCGGTCAAGCGTGGGTTGAATGAGTAACCGTCCATTGAGCGACCGCAACGGACACGGGTCGATACAACATATTCACCAGTTGGGTCAACATTGGGGAATGAGTTGATATCACCGAAGTCACGTGGTGGATGCTTGGCATCTTTAGCGAAACCGTGATAGTCTCTGATCATTGGATCGAAAATGTCAGCAAAAACTGTGTAGGCTTCAGCATCTGGGGCATAGATACCGAATCCAGAGTCCAAGTTTTCAATACCCGATTGGATGCAGTCCAACAAAGTTGATCCAAAGGAGGTCTTCTTGTTCTTAAGCTTATCGAAGACTTCGCGTGACAAGTGCTTCTTCAACAATGACTTTGAGTCGGAGGCGGCAAGCTTGGTGAAACCAGCTTCCAATTTTTCCAAAACAGCAGCATCAACCATGGCTCCGGATTTATTGCTGTAATTAAAAGAGAAAAAAAAACATGCATAAATAAATGCCATTCAACGGATGATATGTCGTTGTTTTTCAATCAAAACGAAAGAAAACAACTCTTTAAAATAATAGGCAAACGATTGCTTTGTGTTTTTCGGTAGAGAACGAGGCAAAAGCAAGTACTATCCATAGACAACGAATGAAATGTAACGAATTTCCTATTCGCACCGAAAATTCGCTATCTGACGTAATCCATTCAAAGCGAAATAGTTCTATTTATCCTTGAAAAGTTATTGGGCGACCCGACCCAACCAAACCGAAAAAAGGACATAAAAATAATCATAAAAAAATCATATCGACAGTGAATGACACATTTCTGTTCATGTTGAGTCAATACGGACTGTACAGTGTTTAGATAGCAGGCATCATCATATTGGCGACAATGAAGAAATCAGCGACGAAAAACTAGTTCGGTGGTGGTGGTTTATTCGTCTACTTCTTCTTGACTATGGTCTCGGCCAATAAATTGCTTACCCTTTCGTTACAGCAACTGCACCTTTAACCTGAGACGGCGCAAAAATGTTATAAGTTGTGGTTGCACCCCCCTTCAGCATGCTTCCAGTCATATTGATGTAACCTGAAAATGGCACAGTTCAATGAAAAAGATCAAACCGATTTCTTATCAAGTGAAAAAAATTTTTACATTACCATTACTCTTAGCAGCAGTTTCAGCAGGTGTCTGATTATTGTTGTCTCTCAAATTAACATTGGCTCCACCCCTGATCAATTTTTCAGCGACATCCTTGTGACCTGAAACAAAATACAGATCAATGGAAAAGATCAAACCAATTTCCCATTTAGTGGAATTAAATATTCATTCACCATGCTCTAACGCAAGATGAAGTGGTGTCTGTCCATTTGCGTCTTTAAAATTGACGTTGGCTTTTTTCATGATCAGCTTTTCAACGACATCAAGTTGACCTGAAAAATAATACAGATCAATGAACAAGATCAAACCAACCTCTTATTTAGTATGCATAAATATTTAAAAAAAAATTACCATTCTCAGTAGCCAAATGAAGAGGTGTCTGATTATTTTGATCTAAAGAATCAAAATTGGCTCCATTCTTCATGAGCTCTTCAACGACAGTCTTGCGACCTGAAAAGTTACACCGATCAATGGGAAAGATCAAGTCAATTTCTTGTTGTATGAAAATAAATGTGCAAAATTACCATACATAGCAGCCAAATGAAGAGGCTTTCTTTTGTCTTTGTCTGTCGAATCAACTTTGGCTCCTTTCTGGATGATTTTTCTAACTTTCTCCAAATTACCTGAAACAGATCAATAAATTACCTGAAAGAAATCATTTTCTTATTTAGTGAACGTAAATACTCAAAGTTACCTATTACAGCAGCGTCATGAAGATCTGTCCGGCCATCTTTCGATTTACTGTTTGCTGAAAATTGGAAAAAAATAGATCAGTGAAGTGAATTGGGAGAAAATGTCTTACATCTGTGGGATGAATTAACACTGTTGTCTAAAATGATTGGCGAATGAAAGTTTCGTTATGGCTGCTTACAAAAACGTCTAAAAATAAAACAAAATCGTCTAAAAAAATGACAATTTCGTCTAAAGGAAATGGTCCCTTTTTTTATTATTTTTTCAGCATTTTAGATGGATTTGTCACTTTGAATAAACATTTTGTCCATAGATGTTTTTGGAGTCTTCTAGATGATTTTGTCAATTTTTCGAGAGAATGTGTATTTAGACGATTTTGTCATTTTTGAACCCGGTTTTGTTAAGAAAATATTGTCACATTTTTAGATGATTTTGTCATTTAAAAAAAATATTTTAGATGAATAAAAAGAGTGGCAATTGACTTGATCTTTCTCATTGATCGGTGTAAATTTTCATGTTAAAAAAAGGGGACGATTTCCTTTAGACGAAACTGTCATTTTTTTTAGACGATTTTGTTTTATTTTTGGACGTTTTTGTATTTAACCTTCCGTTATTCGGAGAAAAAGTATGATAACGAAAACCCATAGCGTATGCTTATATTGGATGCACGTGATCTGAGCTGTGTGTATCTGTGTCTACTTTGATTCTAAATGCAAAGAATGTACAGTACAACCGCAGTTTCACTGTTATTTTTTCTTAAAATACAACGGATTTGCCTTGAAAACTCGAGTTGAGTTTTCGTTTATTTGGCCCGGTTTCTTTGCTAGATTATATGGAAAATGCCTTCATACATCAAATGGCGCTTTGTGTATGGAATGGTGAGAATTAAATTTAAAAATGAAATGGAGCTTAAATCTTACCTCTTGTTGGTGCTACCTTTATTGTGGTACCAGCTCTGGAAGTGTTTGGCCCACCTTCAATTTGCTTTACGTTGCAAATTAAGAACGAATAATGGAGAATTAGTTTAATAAAATATTGGGTAGACAATGCCTTACAAGAGTTTTTTTATAAATGACATGATCAATTTTGGGGATAATGAATCGCGTAATATATTCGTTTTGATTTCCCTTCGTTTTCGAAAAGTCAATTTGTATGGAAAATGAAGAAAAATGCTCTTCATGTCATCAATCGACCCCAAAAAAAATACACAAAAAATGTTAAGTTACCATGAATTGGTCTACCAAAACCGCAACCAGAATCAAACAAACTAAACGGAGAGAAAATATCGATTAAAACATTATGAGTGACTGAAATCTCAAGTATTGTCATAAATAAAAAATTAGAAAAAAATGAAGGAAAAAAGAACTAAGAAGAGACTCACCCATCAATTGCTTAGACATGTTTCTAGTCGAATCACTTGAACAATAACTAAATTACCACGAATTCGGTGCCTCATTTATAGTCAAAAATTAGATGTTGTAAACGTGTCATCATTATTACACACGTGGGAAAACCAAATTCCTTACGATTGAAAATGAACTCGTATTAACCTTCAAACTGTAAAATGTATTTTCTAACGTTGTTCGTAAAATCGGTGCCTGAGTGCCCATAATGCATTTTATATATGAAATGTCAGTTTTTTCTTAAAGTTTTATTTTTAAATGTAAATATTTCAGTATTTATTGATCGGAAAAGTATGAAAATTAGTTTGAAATGTGATGAAAGTCATAAGAAATCGAAATATGAAAGACAACAGCAAGTTTTTTGGAATTTTTTCAATAAAGTGGGAATTGCAATGTTGATCTCTTCACAGAAATTAAGGCAAAAACATATACATACAAATTCCACTATGGCCGATTTTGACGTCGAGTATTGAGATTTTGAACGGCAATTGGATCAAAAATTTATGTATATCACTAGAAAGGTCTTGAAAAGTAGATGTCATTTTTGGTATAAAACTTCAAAATAAGCCGGCATTTGGCCAATATTTGGCCGTTGGAGTTTTTTTTGCCAAAATTGATAAAATGGCCATATTTTGATAAAATGATGATCGATTTTGATGTCTTATAACTCAAATTACATGTACTTTTCAAGATCTTTCCAATGATGTATATTTCATAGTTTCTGCATTAATTTTTATACGCAATTTGTCGAAAAATTTATATGGGCACTCAGGCACCCATTTTACGCATAACGTATCATTGGGCACACAGTGCCCAATTTACGGTTTGAAGGTTAACGCAATCGAAAATATGGAAACCACAAGCTCCAATGAGCAAAAAAATGTAAAATATTCTGATCAAACTGTGAATAAATGGACAACATTGTTGACAGCGCCACGTCAAACCGGTTGCCCGGTCAACTACAGTCAGTCGTAACGCAAAGTTGCACAAACATGTCCCATTTTCTGCATCGAACCGTCGCGTTCATACGCGTCTGTATGCGAAAAATTGTACAAGCTTCTGCTACTTTGCGTTGCGATTGACCAGGGGCGTAACTAGCGTTTTTGTATCTAGACGTTTAAACGGTTGTATCAATGAGTTTTGCCTAAAAAACATCAAAAATTCGCGAAAAATCGAATTTTTAAAAAGTGGTCCGATTTGGATGAAAATTGGTACACAGCATAAGTGGACAAGTAGAAGATTTTGGCATTTAAACTGGTCCAAAAAACGGGTCCGAAATGGTCCAAAAATAAATTTTATTAAATTCGACGAAATCGTAGGTTTTGTTTTGCTACAAAACTTTGCTTTTTAATCTGAATGGAAGTATGAAGTTATTGAAAAGAATCCATTTCAAAGCACTGTTGTAGCGAAACAAAACCTACGATTTTCTTTAAATTTGGCTAAATATAAGTAGAAATATTTTTTCCAATTTTTTTTCGGAACTATTTTTCATTTGGTTAACATTAGTTTGTTTGTTTTTCAATTATAAGCATACGTCAATGGGTATCAGTAGTAATCAACGTGAAGTTGGCTGCGTTGCCCGGTATGCATTATGTTCACCCTTTGATTCTGATACATAATAAGTTGTTTTCGAAATCAGCCAGCGCATGCATGCACCGCATTCAATTTAGGAGTGTGCCAACAAATTTTCATTGAAACTTCTTGTTTTTAGTTATGAAAAATTCCAGGTGAATATTGAGTTTATTTTATACAAATATCTGCACCTGCGCATTCCAACCTTCAAAAAATAGGCAAATAGACATAAAAGCTAGAATTAGCGCTTGAATGCAGTGCATGCATGCGCTGGCTGATATCGAAAACAACTTATTATCTATCAGGATCAAAGGGTGAACATAAAACAGTCGCACACGCAAGCGAAACGTGGATTCGTGTACTGGGCTGGAATTCTAAGTCATTCCACCAAAATCGTTCGGAATTATTTTTTTCGTACATAAGACCATTTTGGAGTGAAAGAGAGAGATTCCACTATTTTTCAGCGTGCCACCGGAATTATTTCTCACTTATTCCACTCTTCCTTGAGTTATCGGAATAATTCCGGTGGAACGCTGAAAAATAGTGGAATCTCTCTCTTTCACTCCAATATGGTCTTATGTACGAAAAAAATAATTCCGAACGATTTTGGTGGAATGACTTAGAATTCCACCCCTGGACGCAAACGATTGTATTAAGTATGTTCAAACGGATAAAGTAATTGTGTCATCATTGAATGATTTCGACATATTAAAAGTTGACATAACAGAAAAGGAAGAAAGTGACGCTTTTCATCTAAATCTTCTGGAAACAACACTGAATTCGAAAATTCCAGCTCATGCCAAACAAAAACTATTCCTCTTCTGCAAAAATTTCGCAAATATTTTCCATTTGCTTGGCACTAAGTAAGTCAACTGCCAATAATTTCTTCGAACAAAAATGACATTTAAAAGACAAAGAGCCAGTTTTTGTCAAAAACTACCAACTTCCGCAGAGCCAAAAAATCAGAAATACGGTAAAGAAATACTGGTCTGATTAAGATTTCCACCGCCAACTAAACTTGCGAACTTTTCATATCGTCATAAGCTTTTGGTGATTTTTGCATTGCAAGTTCAAAAATGTTTAAAAATAACACAAGAAAAAAAAATTCACAAGAATTTGATTGGTATATTTTAAGTAGAAAATCACAAACCGCAACGAAGATTGCAAAGAAAAAATTCAAATTATTTCTCAAATGTTTCATTTTCGAGATTGTAAAAATCATATCATTATTCATGAAAACATGCATCCGCAGCTCTTCATTGCGCCGGAGGCCATATCAGACAAGCCATTGCTGCTCGATTAAAGAAAAGTCTTTATTTATTTAGTCCACTTTTTTCAGAAATTTATCTCAATACTTCTTTGAGCTTGGATGGATACCGTTGTCTTTGGTCCAGGGCTTGATGTTACCAAACTTGTTTCTGATCTTATTCATACCATTTTGTAGGCTTTTCGACCCTACTCCTATGCGTCGGCTTTGTAACATGCTAGAATGAATAATAGCAACTCAAAACCAAGTGGAAACATGTAGATTGGAAATGAATATTTATTCAATTTTTTTTACCGTTGTCTTAATTGCAGAGCTGATTTGATCCCCAACAAGTCCGGAGCAAACTTAATGGCAAAGTTCAAAATCTTTTCTCGGTATCCTGGCGCGGGTATATTCTGCTTAATTCGGCTCGGAAGGCTGTTCGTAACTTGGTCTAAAAATTTTGCTGCCACTAGATTTTGGTCAATGAAGAATACGCAGTAACAAATAAACACAGCGCAAAGTTTCATTCTGTACACTTCCACGCTCTTGATACAGATGTCAATAATTGTTTCAGCCAGATGGCATCTCTTATATATGCGATTGTTTTTAATTAAGACGGTTTGTCGTTATTTGAAGTAATAAAAAAAAACTGTCTACCAGAAAATGCCAATGAAAAGTATTCCATATTTGCGACAGTAAATTAATATCATTCAATTTATGAAATTCCATAAAAAATGGATGGATATTCAAACTTTGAAAGATGTGCTGAATAAACTTTCAAACACCATTAATATCTTCCGGTGTTTGGTCTGTTTTTGGTCGTTTTCAATTGTAGATTTCATGTAGGTTAATTTAGTTTACTTTTTACTTTTCCACACGACCATGTCGTGTAAGAAAAGTATTGGGATCGCCCTAGATTTTTTGACCCACTAAAAATCAGTTTTTTTTTCAAGGTTTAAATTTTCCCATCCGCTCGATAGAGCCTCCATAGATTGAATCGAAAGAGTTTTTCAAAAGAGACTCTTTCAAAAGAATCTTTGCGAAAATTTTCAATATTCTGCTACAAATAACGGCTGTAAACTATATTCAAATGATTGGTTTTGATTTATATTTTAATACTATGAAGAAAAAAAACTAAAAAAATTGATTTGTATTAAATTTTATTGAAATTATTGATTTCATTAAAACGATCATTTTGACAATCGTATAAATGTCAAGTATGGCATGAAGTTGCAGTGTATGGTGAAATGTCACAAATCATTGTACGACGATTGTCAAAATATGGATCAAACGAAATCAATTATTTTAATAAAATTTAAAACAAATCAATTTTTTTAGTTTTTTTCTTAATAGTATTAAAATATAAATCAAAACCAATCATTTGAATATAGTTTACAGCCGTAATTTGTAGCAGAATATTGAAAATTTTCGCAAAGTTTTTTT